TGATGAGAGAAAAGAGACAGTTCTAATAAAATGGTGTGCTTTACCAATAGAACAGAGTACAATTGAATTAGTTGAAGATGTGAAAGAGTGTATGAATTACACAAATGAATTACAGAAGTACAGGGAAAGAAAGAAAATGAGACACTCAAAGTATCCTATTGATTGGAGACCTGACAAAAGTAAGCAGGCCAAATACACTGAATCACCAGTCTACAAGAATGGGAATAGATTGAGAACGTATCAATTGGAAGGTGTGAATTGGTTGATTAATCGTTGGTATTGGAAGACAAGTTGCATTATGGCTGATGAAATGGGATTGGGAAAGACTGTTCAATCAGTATGTTTTGTAGATTGTTTATCTACTGAATTCCAATACAACCACCCTGTGATTGTGATAGCACCATTGAGTACTTTGGTGCATTGGGAAAGAGAATTCAAGGCATGGACTGATTTGAGGGTATTGACGTATCATGGTACAGTAGCAGGAAGAGAGATGTTGGCTGAATATGAATTCACCAACAAGACAGGAAATATCAATGTGAGACTATTTGATGTAATACTGACGACGTATGAGATGGCAATGAGTGGAATGGATCATTTGAGTCAGTTTGAATATTCTGTAGGAATAGTGGATGAAGCACACAGACTTAAGAATCCAAAATCAAAGGCAGCAAGAAGTTTGAACAGTCTCAAAATCAATCATAAGGTGTTATTGACTGGAACACCAATTCAAAACAACCTGAGTGAATTATGGGCGTTATTCAACTTCATGGACAGTAGCAAATTCAGTTCACTGAGTGATTTCTTAGAGGAATACAAGTTGAATGACATCAAAGATGTAGAGAAGTTACAAGAATTATTGAAACCATTAATGTTACGTAGAATGAAGGAGGATGTTGAGACTACGATTCCACAGAAAGAAGAGACCATTATTGAGGTAGAATTGACGATAGCACAGAAAAGATATTACAGGGCAATACTGGAGAAAAACTTTGAGTTTCTAGTTGATTCAGCTAAGAAGAATGTTCCTAATTTGATCAATGCAATGATGGAGCTTAGGAAATGCTGCATTCATCCGTATTTATTGAAA